ATCTAATAAATGATGATTAGTCTGTTTTCCCCTCTCTACAGAGACAGATTGGTTAAAACAAAATTCAAGAAAGAAAAGAAGAATTCAAACAGGATATCTCATATGTACAGACTTTGCTGGTTACAACCCTCTGGGAAAGGGTGATATTGCTTATTTTCTGCAGGGGTTAAAAAATAGATGCCTTAAGGGACATCTGTGTAATTCACACACACACACACACACACACTACACTACAGATGATCTTGAGTATACAATGGTCAACACACACACACACACACACCATAAGGCTTCCAAACTTACTTGAAACATCAAATTATGCTCAGGACTTTGAGGGGCGGATACCCTATGTTCTGTTTAATGTGTATGTTCCATTGCATATATTTTTTTAACCAAGTATATCTTTATTTTAATAACAGGCCAAGAACTAAAAACACTTTAGAGAAGAGTTATTTTTCTACCTCAGCAAAACTACAGAGGACATGCTAGATTGTTGGATGACCCCAAAGCTTAAGTTCATTCTATTTAAAAGATCTTAAAACCTTAAAAAAAAAAAAAAAAAAAAAAGTGAATGGGAGGAGAAAATACAATCTTTTATCTTTTTGAAGTAATGAGTACTTCCTACAAGTATTATGATATTCATCCTTGGAAATGGAGTTTTCTCCATTTTGCCCATGTTAACAATATATTTCTTAATTTTTAAGTATTATATAATCTCTATATACACCTATCTATACTTTCATATCTGCACTCCTTTCAAAAAGTTAAATGTCTCTCTACTGTCGCTGATATGGTGACTACACCTGACCCGAACTGCATTTCTTTTCATCTAAAAGGAAGTGTTCCACATGTAGACAATTAAACTAACTGTTGTTGTAGACAATGTTCAGTTTTAAATGAGGCCCTGACTAACAATCTTGATCACATTTGCTTCCCTATTTGAATACATCAGTGTGAACTGCATAATGATTTTTTTCCCCTTGCAACAAGACAGTTATGTTCTTGAAAGGGCTGCCTGGTAGCACAAATAGGTCTACTTCGGGTAGACTAGTTATAAGATAACCTCCACAGACAGTATGCCAACAAAATTAAATTGTTATTTATAAAACATAAATTATTTTTCAGAAATAAGCAAGTTTTTTTCAAAAAAAAAAAAAGCAAATCTCTCTAAAAGATATTTTCAATGTTTATTTTTTTTAAAAAAAAAAAAAGAACATTTAACACCAAAAAAATCATAAAAATTCATGGGAAAATGAAAAGTATCAAAAAGATTTCTGATGTTTAATGCCTCCTATCAGCAAATACACCATCTGGTATATTCAAGCGCTGTTCATTCAGTTTAAATAAAGCTGTCTGAAAGTTCTTCTTTAAGCCAAACATTAAAAAACGAAAATGCTTGTGTTAACAATGAATGAAACACAACAATTTATTGCTATTAAAGCACAACTGGCCAGCACCTTTCAGCAGTCCAGGAGAAAAGCAGAATGCCTTGCTTCCTCTGGAAACTTGATTGGCATCACTTTCATTTTATGCTGTAAGTTGCATGGCTGAAGCAAGCATTCCATATAACAGAACATTTTAGGTACTTATGCTAATAGTGTTAAAAAGGATCATCTGATTCTTATTTTCATCATCCTTAATAATCTCTTCTTTTCCTAATCTTCAAATAGATCTGTAAGTTTTAATCAACAATTTCACAAATATAAATTTCCTCACCATTAATCATCCTTTTTCAAAATCCTTATGGAGTGAATTACTAGCTGAGAGGGGACGCCAATTCTAGTAAGTGAATGTTACCCAGCAGGGATATAAAGCTGTCAACACCATCGTGCTCTTGCTAGCTCTAAACTCTCTCCTAGCCTTCATATGTTTTTTAAAGAGATATTAGCCTTTTTTTTTTTCCTAAGGACCTTCTATAAAAGCTGACTGACATACACATCTGAGCACTTACATTTTATTACATACATGCTTTAAAACACACTGCTCAGATAAGAGCAAAAACATCCTAGAAAGTGTTGGAAAGACAAAGCAAAACTGATCTAGTTTTAATAGAGTCTTCTAAAGTTAACCACATAGTAAACAACACACTTTTAAGTCCCCTGTTAAAACACAACCTTAAAGACTGGTGACAGTGTATCTACCCTCTCTACTATTTAAATTCAGACACTAAAATAATGGCCCCTTTTTTATGAATACTTAGTTCTCATCGAAAAACACAGTAAATTCCCTCTACCTAAATAAGTGCAGTAATAGCAGAATTTACTACTGCAATCAATGCATTCAGAAATATATTTAAAATATATTTACCTCACTGCTTATCAAAAACAGTAAGATAAATTGCTATTTGATTAGACAACCAATTAACTTGATCTCCCTTATTTTTAAAAGAACAGCTTTTAAGAAAGAGGAACACTAAAGATTAACAAATATGTACTCCCAAATTTTTGGCTCCACTTTTAAGGCAAATTTTATTGTATCCATCTTTACACCATTGACAAGACTGCTATATATCTGAAAATGCTAATAAATGATAAAGAGCTATAAATACTTGTGTAGTTACCTATGCTTATTATATTGCTTTATAAAGAAAATTTAAACAAAAGAACATAGAATGGAAGAAATATAATCTATATTTACTCTATGTTCAAAAAAATCCTTTAATTATAAAAAAACTAACTAAAAATTTATTTTAAACATTTTAAAAAAATAGAATGTGCATAAAAAAAAAGGCTTGGTTTTGCTCCAAACTATATATATACATGGCTAAAAGTTGCAAATAAAGTATTAACATCTTTAACATACATTTGGGAATTATATAAACTTAAACTCATAAAATAATTTTGTTAACATTCAACTAGAAATCTTTGTACTATGAAAATCTTATCTTCTAAGTTGTTATATTCTAAAGTTGTCTAAATTAATCTCTTTATAATTATGCTATATAGAGTAAAATCTTTCTTTTTTAAAAAATTTAAATTCCACTAAACAACTTTAACCACTTTACTATCAGGTATTATAAACGATATGTATTGAGACAAAATAATGTCATCTTTATTTTCAACTTGGGAAGCAACTAATAAGACCTCTGCTATTACTAAATTAATAAGAGAAAGTGTCTAAGGCAGCTGGTTGAAACAAATCTATTATTCTTCACCAAGATAATAATTTTAGTTTATATTAAACATATAAGGGCTCAAATGTGAACTATATTCTCAACAAATTTGAAAAGCAATCACTATTTAACACTAAACATATCCCTGGTCAACAGAGCAAGGCACTTTCTTTCATAGTTCAACATGATACAGAAGGAGGGGGAAAAAAAACTTGTTTTAAGGAAGCACAATTATTAACAATTACATTCCAAAATGTTTACAGATTCCTTTCAATTTAGTGAATTGTATTAGATCTTCAGAAAGATACCAAAATTTTAAGTCCAAGCCTTTTCTGTCCACAAAGGCCACTTTGGAACACACTGTCTCCAAGGATTTCCAGAACTTTTTCAAATATTTTGAGCACTTAGCATACCTCATAATTGGTACCACCATACTCTCTATGAATTTTTATTTCTTATATGCATATACTAAATGATTATGCCAAAATCCTGACATTATTTGCTCCAGTATCAGGACAAATTAATAAACCTCTCTTTTTAAAAGTGGGTCACAGAACTGTTAAGTTTTCTTTTGCCTCAATAAAGTATATTTTCAAGTCCCAAAAAGGGGAGATAAGGCAGAATCCATCACCAAATTTTTTAACTTACAACATTGAAAGGATGAATGCATCTCAAGTGAGATGATTAATATGAAAAACTGAGACAAACCATCCTAAGTATTTACCATGAAGAAATAGAAATAGCAAGTAAGTAAAAGAAAAAACTATGATTTTATAAAACATATGTGTTTAACTCTTTAAAGGGAAATGAACATTTTTAGAGGTAACTATTTTGAAATACATACAAAACAGACTCTTATAACAAGGGGGTGGTAGCTTATCATTAAGGTTTGCCAAGGTTTTATATCATTTAAGGCAAGTTAATATAATTATATTAAATGGGCTATTGTTGAAATTAGAGAAAAAACATTAGAAGCAACAACAACAACAAAAAAATTAAACTAGTGATTTATCCCAAACACACAGAAAACCTGCATGCCATGTAGAATTGTGGATTTTACATGTAAAAGACAACTGAGCAAATGGCATACAAACTCCAAAATATTTCAATGTTTAAATTCCTCCCATATCTTTATTTTGTATGATTGCTTTTCCTGACCACTTTAAAAGAAAGTAGTTGCTTAAGTAGTAAAAACTACAAAAGATTTTCTTTAAATAAAATTATTAATAAATTCTTGGGAGGGGAAACTGCATGTAGTTGATAAGGCTACTTTCCTATTTTTATCTGTTGTCCTATAACAAAGTTACAAATGCATATGACTAAACTATAGACAACTGCAGCATTTAAGCTTCTAAGGGCCTGATGGATTCATGGTGATTCTTTATTTCCCACATTTCACGTGGCAGGAAATATTCCCAGTTGTTACTCATCTGTCTTGAAGTACTGTCCTCACTACAAAGTAACATCAACTCTCCTTGTCCCTGTACTCGCCTGAGCATTAACAACTATTTTATTCCCTAAAAGCGAACGCACGTGAACTTCATCCCTACAACAGACACTCTGAGGCAAGGCAAAAGAGTTAAATCACTAAAAAGCTCTCTAGGAAAATCTAGAAACAGTTAGCTGGCTGTGACATAAACCTGCCAACACCTCAGCACACAGTGGCAAAATGCCCAAAAAATGCCACCCTCTGGGTAAAAACCACTTTCTTGTTTTAACTTGAGATGAAGCTACCAGTTGCAGATGAGAGGCGACGGGGGCATTATTTGGCAACCTGGAATTCACTTCCTGTAATCCTACACCGCGACAGCGCCTAATCAACCTGAACCCTGACACCCAGGCCATTATCACTGGGCCGCGGGCTGCGCGCCTCCCTGCTTCGGGCTGTTACCTCCCACGGCCTTGGCCACGGCGCCGTTGGGCCTCCCGCGGGCTCCCATGGGGCTGCCGTTCTGCTCCAGCCGGGCCACCTTCACCGGGGGAGGCCCCTTGACGTCCGGGCTGCCGCTCCGCCGGTCGGGGCTGTCCCGCAGACACGGGCTCTCGCTCCGCCGCTCCATGCTGCTCCGACTCGGAGACAAAGTTCCCACCGGCAGGTCGCAATAAAACGCACAGGGACCTAGGGAGGGGGTGGGGGGAGGAAAGGGGGAGGGAGAAAAAAGAGGGAAAACCGCTCACACACGTGATAGACGTTCAGGCCAGTGGCAGAGCGCTGCACCACAGCCACACAAACTTCCTCCCACGCTGCCCGAGGGGCCCGAGCCGGGAAGCCGGTCCCAACCTTACACTGGGAGGCCCCCGGGAAGCCCAGCGCCTCGGTTCGGCGCCTCTGCCCAGTCGCAGCTCCCCAGAAGTCAGCCCTCGGGGTTGCGGCCGGGGTTGGCACCCAGGGGAGCCTAGAAGTGGTCCATTCATTGGGACGGGGTTGGCATAAACCGTTCCTGGGTGCGACAGCCTAGCCCGTCCTGGGGTCAGGATTGTGGAATAAGTGAACTTCATAAAAAAGACGTTCCACCCACATGGAAAGGGAGTGGGGGCTGTGCGCAAGTCCATAACCGAATTAACCACCCGGTAAATGCGCTGTGAATAGCCAGGCAGGAGCCAAAGGCCGGGCGAAAGAACCCCTTGAATACCCGCTTTTTACCTATACAGAGCAAGTCCTGAGGTAAGCACACACCTGCATAAAATCAACCCTAATTCCACATTAATAAGCATCCGAAAACACTTGGAGGTATTTATCAGAATAACCTCCATCACAAAGGCGGGCGCTACAATCGTTATTATTTTGGAGCGTTCTTCATCTGATCCCGAGTGCTTTTTTAAAGCTCTTCAGTATAAAACACAAAAGCAAAAAGCATTTGAATTCTTAGTGCAAGAGCAACCTTCATCCGCCCCAATTTTAACATCGCTCCAGAAAGTTTTCCTCTGGGTCACTAGGTTGGCAGTGCGCTCCCCACGGAAGCCGCAGGTCTCGACACCCCTGGATTGGGGGTGGGGGGGGCAGGGAAGGAGGGGAAACACCTGATGAAACGGCGCTCGCGTTGTCACTGACATCCGCAAGAAGCAGGACCCCGGCACCGTACTGCGTGCGCGCTGGGAATCCTGGTGGGCGCTCTCGCTGCGCGAGCAGCGTCGGCGCCACGGGTCAAGGAGACAAGGTGGAGGTGGCAGGGGGAGGTGAAAGGAAGGATGCGAGATGAAGACACAGAGCAGGAGGGCTGCGGACGAGGGTTCCGCCTGCATTCCCCGACTTCGCGGTCCGAGAGGCCGAGAGCGGCGGGGAGGGAACTTCGTTGGCCCTGGGCTTCCCCGAACTCCCGAGCGCAGCGCGGGAGCCCTCGCCCTGCGTACTTACTGCTCACGGTCTGTCTGAAACTTGGCTGGCTGGGGCTCTGTCCATGGAGCAAAAGTAGAGAATCCAGGGTGGAAAGTTTCTGGTGCTTGGCTTTGCGGTGTTCTCCTAGTCTTCTTCCTCTTTACTCCTTTCCCTTCCCTCTTCCCCAGGTCCTAACGTTTAAGGTCCTGGGTCAGGGTGTCTTCTTCTGGTGCGGAGATGGTTGTTATGATGATGATGGGGGGAGGGAGGAGGGGGAGGAGGAGGAGAGGGAAAGGACTCCTCCAAAGGGACACCCGAGCGAGCGGGGGAGGGGACGGCGGAGGAGGGGGGAAGAGAAGGAGGCTGAAAGAGCCTTTTCACACCTTCGGGAAGGAGACCGGTTCTGGAGAGAAAGGGCTGAGAACCCGGAGGCGCCGGGCCGCGGCTGCCCGTTCGCAGGGCAGCTAGCTCGCGAGGAGGCGCGGCCAGAGCGGTGGGACCGGTGACACCAAGAGCCGAGAAGACGCAGGGACCCGGGACCGCGCGCGGGAGGAAACGCGGCGGCCGCCCAAGCTGTCACCTCCAGCCTCTCCCCTCTCGGCCGCTTCTGCCAGCAGCCAGAGCCGGACTCACTGACAAGCCGCAGAGAGAGACACACTGAGAGGGAGATGATTATTAGTTGCGTTGAGTCATCAGGCAAAGTGAGTCCTTTTGGGTTGTCCTCGGTTTCCGATTTCTCCCCCTCCCCCTTTCGGTCCCCAGATCTAGCGCCTTCAAAATAATAATTTGGGGTGGGGGTAGGGGAAGTCTCTGGATTATTTCGGGATGGGGGTGGGGGGGATGGATCTAAACCCAAGCCAGACTGGTCCACCGCAAGAAAAGAGGGGAGTGGGGGGCGGGGAGGAGGGCTGGGGAGGTTGCGGGGGGAGGGGGGCCCCGCCTGGCAGGAAATTAAACATCAATCAATCAATCGCTGTGAGCACGGCGACCCAACGGCGGCGGGGCTGCGGAGGAGGCAGAGGGACAGGCGAGGGGCGGGTGGGAGGCAGGGAGGAGGAAGGAGGAGGAAGGGGAGAGTCGGCGGTCGGAGCGGGGTGACGAGGACCTCGTGCACGAGGCGGCGAAGGACCGATGGCAGAGGACCGAGTGCGGCGCGAGGTGGTGGCCGCGGCCAGCGGGTGGGTGCGTCTGGGCGCAGGCGGGCACCGGGGCCCAGGGTCTGGTCCTCCTCCTTGTGGCGGGTCCAGGGCGCGGTCGCCTCGCCCAGCCCCTAGGCGCACTCGTCCCGGCGCGGAGGCGGCGGCGACAAGGCAGTCGCTTGGTGCCGCGTCTGCCGGCGGAGACGCAGACCGACGCGCAAGAGGCGACCGCGGCTGCCTCGGCTCCCAGCTCTGTTAACTGCGCGGAGTACTTTCGACTTTGGAGATAGGAGGGCGATCGCCTCCCCCACCCACCGCCTCCGCCCACCACCCACCGCCTCCGCCCCTCCGAGCAACTTTTCCCGGTGCCTGCGAGCTCCCCCTCCGCGCCGAGCCGAACGTCCCGGCCCGCCGCGCTTCGTGCCGCCGCGCGCGCAGGGAAGGCCGCTTCTCCTTCAAAGCTGGCACGGCCGCGAGTCCGGAACAATAGCCCGGGTGTCCCGAATGGCAGGAGCACGGCCACTGCCCGCCGGGCTGTGGGTGGCACAGGAATGGGGGTTGCGTGGTGGGTGCAGAGCGGGGTGCATCCCTGGATGGCATCCCTGGAGCGCTCGCCGCTCCGGAGACATCGCGAGCGGCGCAAACCGGGCCGCCTGGAGCCCGTGACGCGGTGGCGGCGAGGGCGGTGGGGCTGCCTGTCCTCGGGCTACAGGACTGGGGCTCCTGGGGACCCCAAGCTGCTCGAGCCCAGGGCTGCTGGCGCCTGCAGAGCTGTGCCGTGAGGACCCGGCCTCCCCGCCCTGGGGGAGGCCGCACAGGAGCGTCCCCAGCAGGTCCCGCGAAGGCGTAACAGAGCCACAAACTTTTGCCGACTCCCGCGGCCGCGGCCGCGGCAGCCCGACTCCGGCCGCGGTGCTCATTTAAGGTAGCACGGGCACTAGCCGAGCAGGCTGGCCTCTGGCCGCGCTTTTGTCCCTACGATTCTGCTTAGGCGCAGTGCCTCCTTAAGGAAAAGCACGTGGGCAAGGGCCGCTGCCCCCGCGAGATGCCAGGGGCGTCGGCGGACATTAGCCGCTAGGACCTTAGGCGAGAAAATGTGGACGCATCCCCGCCGGCCCTGAGGCCAGAGAATCCCCCTCAACTGGTTGCGCCTCCTGGCCCCCCCGCACATATTGACTCTCCCTCTTAATCCCCAAGACCCCGAGGGCTCTCCCACAGCTCCCGCAGCAAGAGCCACCGATCCCCCTTAAGAAGCGTTGACTGTACGGCGGCGCCAGAGGGCCAAACTAAGTTCGGTTTCGGGAAACGCTCTCGGGAGCAGTTCTGTAAATCCCGGCTGGGTGCACAGACTGCGGAAAGCTGAGTCCGCCGATTGTGCCCGGGACAAGACCGCCTTCCACTAGCCGCATCTCCCTGGTAGGCGGCATGCGCACGGGCTTAGAAGCTTGAGAGCCTCTGGAAGAGAAAGGGTCCCAGGAAGGAAACCTGCCCCCGGCCTAAGTGTCGGCGCCCAGATCACCACGAACCCGGCACCCAGACGCCGCCCACCAAGTTCCAAAGAAGTCCGAGGCGACCCGGGAGTCGGTCGGATCCCGGCCGAGAAAAGAAACAAGCAGGATAGCAAATCTTAGGGGAGCCACCCTGGGAGTTTTAGGCAGCGTTTGCCTTTCCCTGGTTTTCTTCACCAAGTCCCATCCTCCCCTTGCATCCCATCCCCAGTCAAACGGGTGGGAGAAAATGCACAGTTCGAAGTCGGTGAGAGCAAAGTGGGTCTAGTAAATCAACCCGTGGTGGTAGCTAAAAGGTTTGGGGCTGCAAAGAAACAAGCTGTAAGTTTGAGCAACAAACTTTTTCTTCAATCTCTAATATGTCGAAATGGGAAGGGGGTGTCGCAAAAGCCAACTACCACTGTCAAACTTAGCCCGTTTACAACATGGGGAAAGGCGTATTTCTTATTAATATCTCAACAACGGTAACAATGCTGTATCCTTCCTTACCTTGATGTTGAACTGCGAATCCTCCTCCGGATCAATGTCCAGGAACTTAGAAGAATTGGTGATATTAGGAGTTCAGTACTTCTGGAAAAAAATGCAAATGGTTTAGCCAGGATCTTTCCTGTCTGATTCGTCACTATTATTATATCTGATGATGCGAATGGTTGGAGCGATTCAATCCTAAGTCATTAATGAGCTATTTTATAAACACCACTGTCTGAAGATCTTCATTTACATTTTGCTAAGGATCACTTCGCTAACCTCACAGGCTTGTGTCAACAACATGATTTGCAGGACTTCAGTTACACTCTTATAAACAACACGGCTGTATTGTTAATCGGTTAATATTTTATAAAGTGTAAATATTTTATTATGTTTTGAAGGGAACTATTGATTCTAAATTATTAAACCCCTGAGAAGGACTATTTAAATGAAATATACATTTAAGTACAATTAAATGTACATTGTGGCTAGTTTGTTTTCAGATTCTGCACCCTTTTAAATTCATTGCTTTTCTCTTTATTGGAGTTTCCTCTTGTCCATTTCTGATACTGAAAAAAATCTATCATGTTAGGAAAAAACCTAAATTATTTAAAGTTGCATTAAACTTAGAGGAAAATGTCAAATACGATTATGACCAGAAATGTATTTTGAATGTTTGTAGAGTTGTATTTCATATCACATTTTACAAATTTCTTTCGATTTAAAGGAGAGTTCTAGGAAGTTTTGTGATGTATGTCCGGTGTGGGTTTTTTTCCTCTCGAGTTTTGTCTCTAATAAAGGCCTTTTCTGTTTCAAATTACATTCGCTTTTTACTGCACAATTTTTGTGTTGACTTTATTTCAACTGAAGCGATTATTTCCAGCAGATTTAATTTCGACAATAAGATATATTTTAAATAATATTTTTACCTTCGCTAGAATTTTCTACTGTTTAAAACAGTAAATAAATAAATTTGATGATGATTCAAGAATATTTGTTTGGTTTCGTTTTGTATCCCTCAAAAGATTTATTTCCAAACATTTTTAAAACAAAATAACAAGAAAAGAGTTGTTTTATTTACGTTTGATTTTTTAAAATACTTTTATCTAAAACCGATTTTGTGCATTAGGAGATAGTTTGCTTCCGTGCTCAAAACATGGAGTTCACATCTGGGGGACATTTTTATCCCTCAGTTTCCTTCTAACTGACTTTTTTGTGGGGAATCTGCTCATACTTTTCCCCTTTTCTTCACCCCCCCCCAAGTTTTTCTTGTGTCATTTAGTAAAAGGCCGCCTGTCTTTCACAAACACGGATTTGTTATTTAAAAAATCAATAGATCTTTATATGCTGGTGTTAAAGGTGTATGGTTTTTCTTATTTCCAACTTCTCTCCTTTTCTCTCTGTCAGGCCTTCTTTTATGGCCTGCAGTCTAATGACGTTTCTTGATTTCTCTTTGTCGACACCAAGTTTTTGTTGTGCGTGCTTTCCACCCTGGTCAACCTTCCCTTCTAGAGGCCCGCTCCGGACAGCGTAGGCCTGGTCGCCGGGGCGGAGGGTGCAGGGTGCCAGGCGCGGGACTTCGGCTCTCGCCTGGGCCATAGCGAGCCCTGAGGGCCCGGCATCCATCCCCAAGCTCCAAGGCTTTCAAGTTTGGTCACCCAAGCAGAGAGATCCTGCCTCTTAAAGAGCCCTGGAAAGTTGTGCCGCGTTTTCCCTCAACCCTGGAACACGCAGGGAAAACTATAGGAATCGCCCGCGTCAAAAGCTTTCGACGGCTTCTAGGAACCCAAGCGGGCCTGCCTCTTCCTCTGGAGCTTGCCCTGCTGGGGGCGGGAGGAGGGCGGGAGGGAATCATTTCTTTCAAATGAAGCCCACGCCAGCTTTGAAGCCAATTTCCGCCGCGGACTGTCCGTGGGGAGTTGGCGACCAACACTTTCTCGGACGGCATAACCGCGAGGGGCTTAGACTGGAAATCGGATGAGCCAAGAAGACAAGAGCCAGGGGCCAGAATACCCCAGTAGGGGATGCGCCTTTGGAGGACGGTTCGCCCAGGGTGGGCTTGAGCCCTTTCCCAGAGTGCTCCGGGTGTCTGGGGACTGACCCGAGCGTAGGGCGGGGGACACTTACTTCGTTATCCGCACGCCTTCCTCGCTGGCATCAGAGCCGGACAAATCCCAACCCGCGCCAGGCAAAGATAGATGACTCCTGGCTCCCCCGGCGGCTCAGGGGGCCTGGGCGGGGGAGGAGAGGGGAGGAAGCCGTCGACCGCCGGAGGTAGAGACGGTGGAGGTCCTCCTCCCGGCCCCAAACGAACGAGCCCCTGCGGCCCGAGCAGGGAGATACGCCTCACGGGGACGACTGATGGGGAAGGATGATGGGCAACAAGTCCGCGCTGGGCGGTGAGCCTAGCACCCCAGAGGCCCGAGGGTCTGGGGCTAGTGGGGCCTACCGTGCAGGGGCTGGGTGGGCGGGAAGGGAGGTGCCAAGGTCGGCCCAGGAGCTGCCTCGGGCGAGGACGGGGAGCTTTCTGCACTGGGCTCCCCGGGGTAGGAGATGGGCCTCGGGTGTGGGCGCTGCCTGCCCTGGGGGAAGAAAGCGAGGGGATAGGTTTCAGAGCTGGGGGAGTCGTTGGTGGGAGATCTGGTATCCCTTAGGCGGCCGCGGGCCGGAGGACCGGGGAGGACGGAGGGTCCTGCGGCCTGGAGCACCAACATAGCCACACCGGGCAACTCCCCCCCGGGCGCCCTTCATTGTTTTGCAGAGCCCGGAGTGTAATAGGTGGGTCCCCCCCCGCAACCGCGCTGCGAGCGAATGACTGCCCTGCTAATCTAGTTTACTTGTAGAAATCGACTGTAAACCGGGGCAACAAGGCAAGGGTGGGGGAAGAAAAGGAAGCGCCCAAGGAGCCGCTGCTGCGTCCCGCCCCCACCTCGGCGCTGTTGGGGTTGGGGCCCGGGGTGGCGCTCCCGACCCGCTGCGTTTTCCTTAGGGAAACACCGAGTGAGGCAGAGGATCTCAGGCCCAAGGTGGCTGCTAAGAGCCCCGATGCCTCGGCTTCGCGTCAAGGTCCCGCCACCCTCGAGCCCGGGTCACTGCCGGGGTCCCGGCCTCGAGCCCTGGCGTCCTCTCCCGACAGCGCCACCGCGTGGGCTGAGGCCGAAACCTTCGGCGCCGGCTCTGCCGGCCGCGTCCCGGAGCCAACTCTTCCGCGTCGCCTACAGTCCGCGGGTTAAGGATGTGGCGGGGCATGGGCAGGTCCCTGGCCCAGGGTACCATCCGACCACTCAACACAAAAACGCCCTGGCGCGTGCAAAATACGAACAGTTTGCCCCAACCCCTTGAAATGAAAAGCACACCTGGAAAGCCCAAGCCATAGCACCCTATCCGCACCCCAAATTTCAGGCAGGCCGGCCAGCGTCCAGAAATCAGCTCCCACCCCTCGTAGGGGCCGGCAAGCTCAGGTAGCTGGGTGCAAGGGGGCCCAAACCGCAGTTGCCTCCCAAACGCTTTGCGGCTATGGGCCCACGCGGGTCTTGAACCAAGCAGAGAGGGCGAAAGAGCCCGCTGCCAGACCCAAGGTCCCAGAAACCTACGAGGGACCGGGGGTGGGGGGGCGGGGGTGGTGTATCCGCCAGCCCAAACTCGTACGGAGTGGGGGCCAACTTAGAGGGCTTCTCGAGCTGGCGCTTCGCCTGTTTTCTCGGTATCACGAATCCCCTCGGACACCCTTTCAGTCAGTCAAGACCTTGGCCTCCGGGAAAGGCCCAGGTGGCTGTGACGGCGGCGACTCGAGCTCAGTGCTCCCCCACCCCGTGGTGCCTTCCCTCCCGCCCTACAGCCAAGCCCAGAAGAACAAGGCATCACCTCGCGCAGTCCCGGCGCCACATCTGGACTTGGGAACCCCGAGTCGGGCTTAGAGGACTTCAGTGGGCAGGTTGGGGTTTATTTTCAATAAATTCAGCCGTTCATACACACCCCCACCACCAATCGCACGCGCGCGCGCACACACACACACACACGCCACACACACACACACACAGAGGGACTTGTCAACTATTGAGACAGCTATCCAGAAAGGTGTAAATTCACCTGGTGCCCACCCAATTGCAAAGCTCCCAGATCCACACAAAACACTAGCGAACCCTGGAGGTCTGAGCTGCCCCGCGCCCGACTCACGGCGCGAACACCAGCGCTCCGGCAGGGTCGCAGGGGCCGGTGCCCAGCGGGCCGGGGTCTGGGGAGCCACGCAGCGGGCCGGCTGAGCTCCGGCGCCCCGCGGCCGCGTGGTCTACTCGCCTACTCCCTTATTATTGGCTGGGACCTGTTTCTTTCCAAAGTCTGGTGCCCAGTGTCCTACCCTAGGCCACGCGGAGCTCTCTCCCGGCGTGCCGGGCCCTGCGCCCCTGCCCAGTGGCTCACCTCGGCTCGCTGCGCCCGCCTTCGCCCCAGGTGCCCAGGACCGAGCGAGGGGCTGTGGGTCGGCGTGGGGACGCTGGCTGCTCACCTCCAGGAGCAGACAGAAGGTGCCTGCGGCGTCGCGCGTCCAGCCCTGGGGCTGATTTAAATAACTAATAAGCTCAGAGAAATTTTACGAGGGGAACTTTTCCTTTTAGTATCAATAAAGCCTAGTAATTTGGTTTGTTGGTTACCTATGCCCGAGTTCGACTTTCTCAGTCTCTCTCTTTCTCTCTCTCTCTCTCTTTCTCTTTTTCTCTCTCTCTCTCTTTTAGAGGCAACGTTTTCAAAAACCGGCAATTGCGTGTGCGTTTGGGATGTGCAAGTGTGAGTGTGGATGTGTGAAACTTATTTGTTTCAGAAGTCCTTCGTCTCGAGAGCAATCATCATTGTAGCTTTGAGTGAAGAGTTTTCAAAGGTGAACTGTTGTTATTTCTGTCAACAGAAAACTGTTGACAACCATTGAAGTCTTACAATACAAGTATAATATAAGGGAGGGTGGAGTTTCTAAAGATTGTCCCGTTGGATATGAGAGAAAGACATCTGCAGTGTTTCCCTAATACTTTGCATTTTAATTAACTTTCATTACATTCTGACTTCAACTCAATATCCGTTGTTTTCAGTAAAGACTTCTATATAATAAAACATTGAAATTTTTGTTTTGGTTTTCCAGTCTTCTTGAAAAACAGTTCTTAATTGTAAGGAATTTTTCCTCCTGGGAACCATGCTGTAATTGAAAAAAATAAAAGACCTTTCATGAACAATAACTGCAAATAACCCATTTGTTAGTGTCTGCGGAGTGGCTGGTACCTATACAACATCTCTGAAATATAAGACAATCTAAGAATGTTCCTCTCCAACCATAGTGATATATACTTTTTTCGTTTTTGTTGTGTGGAAGTTAAAAACACGTTTAAAGGTACTTTTTAGAAAAGTGTAGTGCTAAAATTTACCTGAACTTAAATTCCTTTTCAATGTTAGCCTAACGAAATGAAGAGTATTTCTGAATCAGATTATTGTTAGAGTCACACGCTAAATAGTAAAGGAAAATACATGGGAATTAAAGTTTGCAAACTAAGACCAGGGAAAAGCCGGCTCCAGAAGTTACCAGGAACCCACCCAAACCTGTGCACTCTTATCTCCTGTATTTACATATTATAGACAACTTTTCTTTTCCACTTTTAGCTAGAAAATTAATGAGCTTCCCTTAGTTCACTTGGTTTTATGCTGTAAGACCCAAAGTCCGCTGAGGGTTGCCCCTGCCAGGTAACTTCCGGAAACCCAGAGTTACTTGGAGACGGACCCGGCCCTTTGCACATTCCAAGTGAAGGACATCTCGCCCATTCTTCCCAGAGCCACCACCCATCTAACCTCTTCTGGACACCCAAGAGCTGAGGCACTGGAGCACCTGACCCTTCTCAAGATCATCCCCCAGCTCTTTTCCGCACTTGGCTGCAGCAGGATCTGAGCTGTGGGTATACACACTCCCCATTTTCTGCTTTCCCAGAGGATCACAGACAACTTTTCTTCCCATCTGCTCCCTGCTGGACTCCTATGATCACCCGTCATCCCCAGTTGTTGCCATCTCTGAACTCTTGGTGACCAGCCCTTGTCCCCCAAGCTGGCCAAGTTGAGAGAGGACTTGTCCTCCCAGCGCTGTCTCTCAGTACCAGGAAGTTGAGATCAGTGGCAGGGAAAGATGGAAGGATTGGCAAGGAAAGTGCAGGGCCAAGTAGAGTAGCTCAAAGCCTCAGCAATGGGCACCTGACCTCCCCTAAACAACCTGTGGTCTCTCCGACTCCCTGATTTTCCACTATTGGTCCCATCCCGGGCTACCAGCCTCCACTGAGCTGCTCTGGGAACTTAGGGTGTCTCCCATTACCTCCCTGCTATGGCATATTTTGGTTTCAGTTGAGCTATTTTCTGAAGATGTGGAAACTCCACTTTTATTCTTTTTCTGTGTCTCAGTACTCTTTTCCTTTTTTAAGAATGTCTCCCAAGTTTTGCCAGACCCTATGCCGTCTCCCCAAGCTCTATTTACAAGAACAAAAAGTGATTTGTCTGTTTATAACAGGTTTAATTAAGACAGTTATGCGCCGTGAACTCTTTGGGCCTCAATCAATGCACTTTGATTTGGAAAGTCAGATAGAATCACATCTTACACGTGCCGCCCCGGCTGGCCGCCCAGGCTGAGGACAGAGCTGTTGTTTTCTACATCAGCCTCACTGAACCTGGGCAAGTCCCCTGCAGAACTGGCGTCCCTGCTCCTCCCAAGAGACCTCAAGTCAGGTCTCCCGGCCAGACTCAGGCCTTCCTGATTCGGGCGTGAAGGGCGGGACGCCCAGAGCGCTCCTGTTGGCTGGGTGGCTAAGGAGCCCGGTGTATAGCTTCTGAGGATTCGCTTTCAGGCTGCTGGAGCTCTCCCCAGCCCGAGGCCTTAGCTCGGCGCTCTCCCTTGTCCAGACAGTCCAGTTTCCGCGTGGCGAAAAAGGGGGAGGCAAGTCTCTCTTTTCCAAGGAGCTTTTATCCAACAGCCTCCCCTCCCCCCAACTCTCAGCCTTAGGTGCCGGGCTTCAGCCGAAGCGTTTTTCAAGTTTGTCATCATTGGAAACCTCGGACAAGTGGAGTGTAAAATTTTAAGGGTTTCTAGGTAGGCTCTGACTTCAAGCATTCAATGAAAGGGGAAGGGGGCTGAGGGCGGGGGAGAGAGACGCGCACAGAGGGCTCCCTGTAGTCTGCTGGACTTCCCTCCCTCTGCAGCCCAGTTGCACCCACTAGCACTCACTAGTCTTCCCTTCCTCTGGCTTCGGAAGAATTCCCACCACATTCTTTAGCTCTCAGAAAGGAGAGGGCAGTCAGGTCAAGGTCTTTCAGCATCCCTACCCCAGTATAACCTTACCAGCCCCCTCACCACCACCACATTGGCCTAGGACACAGGACCCCCCGGCCAGGGCCTCAGTGACTGCGGCTTATGCCACCTAATACAGAATGGAGTGTCCCCACCTCCCACTGCTCCTCTGGGTCTCAGCATCCAGGTCCTGAAACCCCTGTGATTCTGGCCTAGGAAGCCAGACTTGCCACCAACATCATGATATCACTTATAATTGATCCATTCAGTTTTCAATAGATGTGGAATCCAACAAGAGTAACACCACCCTCCACACCCCACCCTCTCTTCTTTCTCTCTTTCTTTCTTTCTTTCTTTCTTTCTTTCTTTCTTTCTTTCTTTCTTTCTTTCTTTCCTTCCTTCTTTCTTTCTTTCTTTTCTCTCTCTCTCTTTTTTAAGAATCCAAGGCATTTAAAACATTCTGAGTGTGCCTGCAGTAGGGTCTCGGAGGAGTTGCTGAAAGCTGTTGAGAGCAGCCACCTTTGCTGTCACTGAGACCTTGGCAGGGTCAGCTCTGGTGGGCTGTGTGCACCCAGGCTCTGGTGGCACCAGGATGGCTTCCTGCAACCCGGTAGGAGGACTGGGGTGGGTGGGTCCAGTATTTCGTTTCTTCCTCTTCCTTTTTTTTTTTTTTTTTAAATGTCCCTCTTTATTTCTGTTGAAGACTATCCTCAGTTTTTTTTTTTTTTTTTTGTTTGTCCTAAAGTGGCCTGTAAGTCGCTCCTACTCTGCCACAGGACACTAACTCCGGGAGCGCCTCCTGGCAGGGCCTTCGCTTTGGGCCTAGGCTTCCAATTGAGGCCCAGTAATCCCACCTGTGGGGCATCTTGCAGTGAGGTATTTGTGCATCTGGGGCGGGGAGTGAGGGGGAGAGACCTAGGCTGGTGCAGTATCCACTCTCGCACCTCCTCCCTGAGTGGAGCTCCAGACTAAGTGAGTGAATCCATGAATCAGCTCCACAGCGGAGGGGTAGAAGAAGCAGCCGTCTTCGTTAAATGGGCTGTTGGCAGTTGCGGCTGACTGCCCTACCCCCTCGCAGGCCCGCCTCTGGGCAGGCCTGAGGTGGCCCTGGAGCCCCGCCAGCAGCCCCCGCCCCTCAGGCCGAGCTCTGGCCCTGGCAATCTCTGCACTTTGTCATCACGCCCGAGTATTTGACATTCGCAATTATCTGCAAATACCCTGATCGGTTTGTATATGAAACACTTTTTTTCCTGCCTTAAGGTTGGAATCTGGTAAGTTTCAGACAAGTGGTTGCTGGGGGAGACGACCCAGGGGACCGTGCGGAACCGGGCCAGTGAACCCGATTCCGCGAGGCGGGCGTCGCGAAGGGACTGGTCTGCGTGCCTCACCGGGTTCCCCAGCCCGGCTCGGAGGAAAGGCCGCACGGAGGCGAGAAAGGGCCCACATCTCGAGTCTCCAGTCTCTCCTTGAAAAGAGCACCCCCTAATCCCGGAGGAAGGGTGGGTGAAGGAGGAGGGGAGATCCCACTACAGGCAAGGCCGGAAGGTTAATCATCTTGATAACCGGAAAGGGTGCTGCCCCGCCTGGCCGTCGTCACCGAGCGTGTCAGTCACCCGCTCTCGATTTCGCCGCAGAATTACCTGCTCAAAGAGCCATCCCAAGAAGCCCTCAGCTCCGAGGTCTTCCCGCCCGTAGTCTGCGGGAAATAAACGGCATGCTCCCGCCAAAGAAGTGGATGCCCCTTCGACTCTCCTCCGCCCCCCGGCGGTTCCTAAATTTAGGAGAGCCAGCCCTGGCATCACTCACTACTCCTGCACCTCAGCTCTGGGATACCCGCCCAGTACAGACAGACCATCAACCAAAAAAGAAAAGAAGAAAAGAAAAGTGGTGGTGGGGGCGGGGGGGCGGTGGGGGCGGGGGGAGGTTGGGCAGGGAGGGTAAAGTAGCGAGATCACTTGTTTGACTCTTCTGTTTTCTCAGGAACCTGATCCTGGCCCCCAGCAGAGCCTAAGGGCCCGAGGCCAGGGACCTAGAGGCCGGACCAAGTTCGCGCGAGGTGTTCACAGCCTAGGCGCCCCGGGCTTGGCTTCGTACTCGCCAACAAGCCGAGTTCCCTTACCACGAGTACATCAGCAACTTCAGAAATAAACATTAGCGAAACCCCTTCCCACATTACCTTGTTGCAGTGCTGCAGACACTGGGCTTAGTCGATGTTCACACCTATTACACTTTCCCGGAAAGTGGGAGGAGCAGGGGGTAGAGAAAGGTATGTGTATTTGCGGGGAGGGGAGATGTGTACAACACCTTCCACAAAAATGGGGAGGTAGCTTAGAAAGTTTTTCTTTGTAACAGCCCAACTTCTGAGAAGGCGGAGATAAGAAGAAAGCAGGCAGGAAACGAATCCCTTCCTCCTCTCCCCTTTACCCGCTTCCTTCATTCTCTAGACCGGGCTGGTCACCCGGCTAGGAATCAAGAGTGTGTGGCTGGGAAGACACCAGTCTCTGTGATCGGGTTCAGCCCAGTTGGGCAAGAAAGTGTGGGCAGCTGGAGAAGGTCGTCACAGTCTCCCGTGGAATCTTGATGCCTGAGAGCCCCATACTGGAAAGGGCTGAGACGACTCTTCCACACACAGGTCGCAGCCCCTGCCGGAGGATCCCCAGGGAGACGCTGGGGACGCTCTGAGCGTCGGCCTTCCTTTACCTCCGACTCCCTGGAGCTTGGTCTGGGGATGCCAACTTGGGGCACGGAGGTCCCGAGCTGCTCTGAAGCTGGAGGGTTTCTGCTTGGGTCAGAGGGATCACGACCTCAGCAGAGCCAGGAGAGGGTGGGGTGACACCCACTGCGTATGGCACTTGATTCAAAACTGACCTCGGCCTGCGGAACAGGCGAGGGCAAGAAGCCTGGTGGCGGGTCATACCTTCACCCCATTATTTTCTATCATTTTTTATGCCCATATCTTTGTTAAGTGTATGGCTGCTATACACCAACGGCTTATTCTACAGGAAGTGCCCCCGAGGAGGACTGGGTTAAGCTTTGCAAATTTGGCTTCCCAGGTAACGCGCTCCATTATTCTGCTCCCGACTTACCCACCTCATCAGTGGGTACCCGGACAGCACCCACTTGGCAGAACTGATGACTGTTTGGGCCCAGCGAAGTGCGCATTGCGCTAACACGCGCATGGAATTGCATCCTTGCCGGAGCCTCCGCACAGTGCGCCCTTCAAAGAGCTGGCGACCCCGCTCACGTGTAAGCAACCTTCCACTTTGAAACTAATTCGCACCCGCGTCTTTCACCCCAAAGGACTTTGCTGCGGACGCTGCTCTGACCCAAGACGCGGGAGAGAGGTCCCAAAGGCTAGAGCCAGGGGCTGGGGGAATCCTCTGCTCACCTTAGTCCTTGATTTCGAAGGCCCCAATTAGCTATCTGTTGTGTCAGAATCGGCGAGTGCAACGTGGCTGCGCCCCGCTGACGCTCTCTCTCCCGGGTCCGGGTATCCCAGGGCATCCGGAGCTGGGGTGGGTTGTGCGAACTACCCAAAGCACGCGCAGATACCGGGCAGGGAAGAAGGGCTCCGTATTCCAAGTATGGTCGTTTACCTCTCCTGAGATCAGCCCTGATCCACTGGTAACCTAAGTGCCTCTGAACTCGGGGAGCTCTTGGTGGGGCGCCTTCCTGCCCCCACTCCTACCCCGGCTCCTTCCCAGGCCCAGCATCTTTCCCACCATTCTCACCCCTACCACCCCCACGGCCCCGCCCGTTTAGAGGCGTGCGGTGGGCACTCGGTTTACAGAACCGGCGTTTCAGATGTTTATTCGCAACTAATTGCTTGTGCTGGAAAATGCTTGTTACCCGCGCGGAGCGCTTCCGCTCTGCGCGGTCAGGCCAGGCGGGCGGCAGCTTGCTGATCCCTCCCGCAGAGCCTCCGTGGAGCGGGCGGCTGGGAAGCGGTTGTGCCACCCGGGACCAAGCCATCGGCGCTGCTCCGGACTCCCGGTAGGGGGAGCCGCCGCGGGCGCCAGGCCGACTTGTGTTCTGGCCTCGGGTGGGCCCTGCTGCCAGCGGCCGGGACTCCCAGCAGAGCTGGGGAGGACTCCTCACCTGCCCTCCAGATAAGGCGCCATGAGCAGAGAAGGGAACACAAGGCCAAGCTCCCTCCTAATTCCCTGTTGTTGCAGAGCAAAGAAGATGGGGGAGAACTAATTATATTCTCCAGGTCTAAATAGTGTTGAAAAATTTGTAGGTGAGATCACCTCCTTTGCCCATATCCATATATAATATATCCATTACATGTGTTTGCCCATATATATGTATATGCCATATATAAATATGTACATGTGTGTATGTATGTGTATAGCAGTGGTTTAGAACTAGTCTCAGTTCCACAAATTTTAAGCCCTTTTAATATTTTAGGTGACATAATCCCTTTTCACTGTATTTTCCAAGTCACTTATTTCCAAGAGTTTTAGGTGATCCCAGCACAAAATAGGAGCTCAGATGACACTTGCCGGTTTTGCTGCAGTAATGTCATCAAAAGAGTCTCTCTTTTTCTGACTCCATAGACTTAAGTAAGGGTTTAAAGGCTTTCATTTTAAGGTATGACTAATGTTTAGAGAACAAGACTAAGCCAAGGTCAAAGGGAAAGCAGTTAGACTGTGAATCTGCAGACCAGTCCGCTGCACCCAGTGTGGCAGTACACCTGTGCTGAACGGCCAGAGACTTCCTGGTCAATACTCCCACAGATAAAAGACTGAAGGCTCTCCTTATACACAAATCCATCTTTTGCTGGGAACCCACAGCTCATAACAACTCTCCTAATGCCAAGTCATCAAGGCCTCTTGAAAGAGAATCATAAAAACAAAGAATTTCAAACTTGGAAGGAAACCTAAAGTTTACTGGTGAGGAGCTTGAACTAAGTAGAGGCAAAGAATCATACTCCAGGTGAGAAAGGCCCCATGCACTGAGCTGAGACTGGAACTGTCCTCTTCTTACTCTCAGTCCAGTAAGTTTGACTACAGAGCACTCATTATCATTCTGATTATGTTCCCACATATTTTGGCGTTCTTAGGCATACTCTTTTAACACTATTGTAATAATAGCAAAATCTGGAAGATCTTTAAAAGAATGTAACAGTTGCTTCCAAGGGAGGCTGAATCTTAGAAATGACGTTACATATAACATTGACATATCTGGGGGAAAGACTGGAAAAATATAGTTTCATTGCTTTTTTGTGTGTTTTTGTTTTTGTTTGAGACGGAGTGTCACTCTGTCAACCAGGCTGGAGTGCAGTGGTGCTATCTTGGCTCACTGCAACCTCTGCCTCCTGGGTTCAAGCGATTCTCCTGCCTCAGCTTCCCAAGTAGCTGGGACTGCAGATGCCTGCCACCACGCCCAGCTACTTTTTGTATTTTTAGTAGAGATGGAGTTTCACCATATTGGCCAGGCTGGTCTCAAACTCCTGACCTCAGGTGATCCACCCATCTCGGCCTCCCAAAGTGCTGGGATTAGAGGCACGAGCTGCCAGACCTGGCCAGTTTTATTGTTTTATCCCTGTTGAATAATGTTGGATATATGAGACTGGGCACAGTGGCTTACGACTATAATCCCTGCACTTTGGGAGGCCAAGGCAGGTGGATCACTTGAGGCCAGGAGTTCAAGACAAGCTGGCCAACATGGTGAAACCCCATCTCTGTCCACCTGCAATCCCAGCTACTCAGGAGGTTGTGGCAGAAGAATCGCTTGAAGAGGGAGGTAGTAATTAGATTGTGCCACTGCACTCCAGTCTAGGGGATAGAGTGAGATCCTGTCTCCAAGCAAAACAAAGAATATTGGCTATATGCAAATATGTGGATAAATGAATGAATATACAAACAAAATAATGAAAAAGGTGGGATTGTTGGTATTATAAAAGCATTCTCCCAAGTTGTGTATTTTTTCTCCAAAAACCAGACCTAACTTAGTCTTTAAGTGTTTGTTTATAGATTTTTAAGTGTTACATTTTGGTGTCATTTTTAAGAACCAACGGGCAGGAATTTCTAAAATAAGATTTGAGAAAAAATCTAATAAAAAATTGATTTGGCAAAAGTAGGGAAATTTTTTTGAATGAAATATTAAAGGATAAGCCCAAAATATACCACCCACTGACTTTATCATACATCCTGGGATATAAATGATATTTTATCCTCCTTTCTATAATTATCCCCTTTTCGTTTTTTGATAGGATCCACACAAAAATTACTATTTACAAGGTCAATTCACTATTCCTTTTCGTATTCTTGTTCACAAAGGCAGAGCTACATTATCAAATGAAAGTGTCTCAGTCTTTTTCCGTAACTAATGTCCAATCTTTAGCAAATGGTGCTGTGATGTCATTGAAATGGGTATTGGACAAAGTACCAATTGATTTATTGATTTCCCTTCTTCAAAGTCATTTGGGAATTGAGGAGAAGAATGAAAGGCATAGGCTGGCTGAGATGTGCAATATTTATTCTATCACACACAGACACACAAAAATTACATTTGACTGATAAAATTGACAACTCAGAAGCATTGCTTACAGCAATTCATAACGAGATGATATTGAGGCTACTCAGCTGATCAACCTGCCTTTTCTTTTCCTTATCATTTTATTTACTCCTCCAATTTCAGCCTTTTAGAAGTCTAAAAGCACCAGGTTTTCAGTTAACCTACGAGGGGAGCATGAGGAAAAGAGGAGCGTCACAGGAAAGGAAATGATGTATGTACTGTTGCTTTCAAACACAAGACCCCATAAACTCTGCTCTGGGGTCCTATAAGCACAGTAGTATCTCTAAGACTGACACTTGCTGGGAATCTCACAAGGGGTCTTCTGTGGTCCATGGACTGGTGTGGCTTCCCACCTTGGGTGGAGCGGGGGCCTCTGAGAGTGTCCTGTGGGCTAAACTTGTGATGGTTCACAGCAGACCCATGACAATACGGAAAGTAAGGCTGCTGTGATTGTCTTAGGTTTTTTAGGAGAGAGTTTCACAGCAGGGCTTCTTTCAGCCTCAATCACTGAACCAGTTTTTGAGAAGAAAGACTTTTAATCCAAGTCCTGTTATAAATACCAACTAAACCGCCCAGAGAAACTCCACATTCTGCCTTGGAATTACCATACACAACAGTATCTACAGTGAAGCTGAAAATATATGAATAAAAACAAACCTCGGACTTCCTCTCCCTTGTATGGGTGAGCTGCCTTGAGTACCAGGGAAGATTTACCATAATGCATTTGAAACACAATTGCATGCTAGCTACTTTGTTTTTCCTGCTCCCTTTCCCCACTTCAAGAAGAATGGAATATTTTTGTCTTCCAAGCTTTCTATTCATTTATCTCAATCCTCTAGGTTTAGCACCATCATTTAGAAAATCCCTGCTCAGCCGGGTGCGGTGGTTCATGCCTGTAACTCTAGCATTTTGGGAAGCTGAGGCGGGTGGATCACCTAAGGTCAGGAGTTCGAGAACAGTCTGGTCAACCTAGTGAAACCCCGTCTCTACTAAAAATACAAAAAACTAGCCAGGCGTGGTGGCTGGTGACTGTAATCCCAGCTACTTGGGAGAATCTCTTGAACCCAGGAGGCAGAGGTTGCAGTGAGCCAAGATCACACCATTGCACTCCAGCCTGGGCACCAAGAGTGAAACTCCGTCTCAATTCAGAAAAAGAAAAAAAGAAAATCCCTGCTCACCAACGATGCCTGACTTTTCTATGCCTGTGTGTGCTGGAGTAGGGGAAGGGTATGGTGAAGAGAGGTTCTCCCCTCCTCAGAGCATATGATTCATTTTGCCCACTCTTGAGCCTGGATTGCAGGCTCTCACTATCCCAGGAGAAACTAGATGAAGAATGCCCTGGAAGAAGGATCTGGAACACTGCCTACCTACCCCCCATACATCCCTCCCCAGCCCCTCTCCACTGCCCAATCCTCCCTTCCCAGGCTGGTGTTGAAAATGTTGGATAGGGAAGTGTGATGGAGAAAGAAGAATTACGATCACCTTTAAGAAGGTTATGTGGAGCTGATGAAAGAAATGACTCTCTTTTTAAAAGACTGCTTTTA